AAAGGGTGTGGCTGGGACAGGCTGAAATCCAGAGCTTCTTCTAGGACTCCTACATGGATGCAGGGGCCCCAGCACTCGGGCCTTCTGCTGCTGCTTTCCCAGGCACACTGGCAGGGAGCTGGTACAGAAGTGGAGCAGCTAGGACTCGAACTCAAGCCCATACGGGATGCTGGCACTTCCAACTGTGGCTTAACTTTCTACGCCACAGTGCTCGCAGCTATCTTTTCATATTTGAGCCCAATTCTTAACTGGTATATTTATTTAATGACTGCTAACTTTCCTGAGCTTGTTACATATTCTGGATACCAGCCCTTTACCATATGAATAGTTTGCAAATATTTTCTCCCATTCTGTCAGTTTCCTCTTCATTTTGTTGATTCTTTCCTTGGCTGTGCAGAAGCTGCTGAGCTGGTTATAATTCAGTTTGTCTTTATGTGATTTTTATTGTCTCTGCTTCTGTGATCTTATCCAAGAAGACCTTGCCTGTGACAATGCCTTTCAGGTTTTTCTCTTTAGTTTCCTTTAGTAATTTGAGGGTTTCCGGCCTTAGGTTTAATCCTTGGAATACTGGGAGATGATTTTTGTGTAGGGTATAAGTTACAGGTCTTGTTTCATACTTCTCCATATGAAGTTCCAATTTTCTCAGCAACATTTGTTGATGAAACTGGCCTTTTTCCAGGGAGTGATTTTAGCTTGTTTGTCCAAGATTAGTTGGTTTAGATGTGTGGATTCTCTCATCTATTGTACCAGTCCACAAGGACACAAATTAAATCAATACATGTCTATTGAACATGTGTACAAATAATAGTAACATTGGTGGCCACTCTAATCATTGGCTTTTAAAAGATTTATTTTACATATTCTGGCTTAAACTTCTTTATAAATGTAAAAGTCATTGCACCTTACATCCCACTTACAATAACTTTGTTTCTGCAAATGTCTCCAAAATTAAGTGAGGCAAGTTCTCAAAAGCTAGAAATAGAGCTACTATATCTTCCATCAATCCCACCACTGGCTTTATATAGAAAGAAAATAAAACACGAATCTCAAAGAGAAAGTATCACTCCCACATTTACTACAGCATTATTCACAAAAGCCAAGAGATGGAAACAAAGTTAAGTGTCTGATAGCAGATGAGTAGATAGCGAAAACATGGTAATATTCTATCTGTCTATGATAGAATATTATTCAGCTTTATAAAAGAATGAAATCTTGCTATTCGCAACAATAAGAAATTAGGGCAATTTATGCTAAATGTAGTAAGTCAGACAAAGAAAGGCAAATGATTGATGATACCACTCGTATGTGGAATCTCATAGAAATAGAGGGTAGCATGGTAATTGCTTGATGCGAAGAGGAGTGAGGGATGTTGGCCGAGCATAAAAATCTAAATCATGAATATGTTCTAGATATCTAAATAAAACAAGGTTACTAAGGGGCTGCTGCAGTGGCACACTAGGTTAATCTTCCACCTGCGACTCCGGCATCCCATTTGGGCACTGGGTTCTAGTCCTGGTTGCTCCTCTTCCAGTTCAACTCTCTGCTGAGGCCTGGGAAGGCAGTGGAGGATGGCCGAAGTCCTTGGGCCCCTACACCATGTGGGAGACCAGAGAGAAGCTCCTGGCTCCTGGCTTCAGATTGGCATAGCTCTGGCCAATGCAGACATCTAGGGAGTGAACCAATGGAAGGAAGACCTTTCTCTCTGCCTCTTTCTACCTGTCTGTAACTCTACCTGTCAAATAAATATATAAAAATTTTAAAAAAGCAAGGTCACTGAATGTAATAAAAATAGTAGTAATAATAATACTGTACTGTATACTAGAAATTTGCCAATTGAGTACACTTAAATATTTTCAAAGCACACACAAATGATAATTATAGGAAGTGATATATGTTTTAACTATTAAATTTGGAGATCATGATGAAAGTAAGCTAATATTAAGACACCAGGTTGTATGCCTTAAATATATGTATTTGTTTCATTTTTCATTTATACCTTAGTAAGGCTACAAAATACTGCAACAACAACTGGATTTCTTTGTGTAAAAAGTATGAAACTAGACACAGATTACATACTATTACCAAAATGAATTATTGACATATATAAAAATCATCAAGACAGAAACGATAAGGGAAAGGTATGAAGGGACTTCAAAAAGTTCATGAAAAATGGAGTTAAAAGTTAAGTTTAAGTTGATGTAAGAATTCTGAAATCCATGCATAGTTTTTTATAACAAGTATCTTTCATGTGTTTTTGAAATTCTCTCATATTCATCACCTTAGATAAGGTATTTAATTTATTCAGGTATGTTCATTTCTTTCTGCAGCTACTTGAGTACACTTGTAGCTTTTCTTCTTTAATTTTTCACAGTGTATTACTACATTGATTGATATTTGAGTATTAAAATTCCCTGGGGGTGTATTTGCTGATATTTTTATTCTACATTTTTAGTACCTATATTCTGAGGGTTTTTTTTGTAGTTTGATTTGATTTTTATTCACTTACTTGGCACTGAAGCTGCCCTCCTAGCAAAAGTTGGGAAGTTGCCCATCCACATAAGTTTTATGCAGCACTTTATACAGTATTGATAACTCTCTGTCTTCAATTATTTGTTTAGCATCACAAGGAGAAATGTGTGGAGTTGTTTTTGTGTGAAGGTTTACACTGAAAAATTAATATTTTTTTTATTTGACAGGTAGAATTATAGACAGTGAGAGAGAGACAGGGAGAAAGGTCTTCCTTCCGTTGGTTCACTCCCCTAATGGCCGCTACGGTCGGCTCTGAGCCGATCCGAAGCCAGGAGCCGCTGCTTCAACCTAGTCTCCCATGCAGGTGCGGGGACCCAAGCACCTGGGCCATCCTCCGCTGCCCTCCCAGGCCACAGCAGACAGCTGGACTGGAAGAGGAGCAACCAGGACTAGTACGCAGTGCCCCACCAGGACTAGAACCCGGGGTGCCGGCGCCGCAGGCAGGGGATTAGCCAAGTGCGATATGGCGCTGGCCGAAAAATTAATATTTTTTAAAATATTTAGTTAGACTCAAGTTATGTATATTTTGTTAAGCCAAAGTTTTGAGCTTTTAGACAATTTCTTCTAATTAAAAATTATTGAGAAAATAGTGCTCACAATATTCCATTATTAGTGTTTTAACATCAGCACAACATACTGTAATGTTGCTTGTCTAATTATTGATAGTGACAATTTGTGTGCTTCTCTGTTTCCTAATCAAACTGGTAAGATGTAAGCAAGTTTTGAAACTTTCAGAGCAGTAGCCTTTTGTTTCATTGATTCTTCTTTATTAAATATATGCATTATTTAATGATATAGAATATTTTATTACATTTTATACACATTCTTCTCTATTATATATTATTATATATACCATTAGGCTCTAAAAGTGAAAAATTTAGTTCTTCCATGTAATGAATAAATTCAGTTCAGGATCTAAATTTATTATGTTGAGCCAAGATTATCCATTATATACAAAATGGAATGGTTCTATCAACAATATCATGATATTGACTTTTATTTCCAAAGGTGACTGATAACCTAAATAGTATCAAAAGCTAGATTTTGACATTGTTTTTAAGGTCTATTTTATTTGTTTCAAATGAAAAGAGACAGAGAGAGAAAGAAAGAAAGAGGGAGAGAGAAAGAGATCTTTTCTTATTGGCTATCTCTACTATTTTTCTAATTGCATGATTTTCTTGGAAGAATCCCTCTCCTGTTATTGTCATGTTATCTATTCTGGATGATCTCTCACCTCTCTTCTTATTTCTATTCACATTCATTATGATACTACATCTGCTTAGAAATTCTTGCTCTTATTTCTTAGCTGGTAAAATTCTCATCATTCAAGACAGCTTAGTCTTTCTCTGAAATCTCCAACGACCCACAGTTGGACATTTAACTCACACTCAGGGTTGCTTTTGATATTTTGTAATCTTGTGCATGATTTGAAAATTAGAAAACATTAAACCCTTTTCCTACAGTATCTCCTGAAGATACTTGCTTTTTTTTGTTACTGTTCTTTATTAATTTCTTTATTATTTTCTATATAGCTTATCACATAATTTCAGCATATGTTAAATATTTAATAAATACTCTCTGACATGAACTGATTCTGTTTTACTAATTCCTGTGTTGTGAGATGTTATTAACAGTGATAAGAAAATTGGTAGGGTGGTTTGGTTGAGAAAACAATCACAAAATGTCATGGTAGAGATACCCAGTTGAATCTTCTCTTTAGGCATTGGGAAAAATACGTTTAGTAAGGGATCATCATACTTCTAATACCTATTATAAATGGAATAAGATTTTTTGACTATTGTAATAACTGTTCCACTATTTAAATCATATGAGCCTACCTTTGCCTAACGTAGTGCTCAAAATATTATCTGGATTTAAGAGATGATGAAACTAAATGAAATCTGTAATATTATCACTATAAGTGATGAAAACAGTGTTGAACATGACTATTCTCTTAAAGAAACCCTAGCTTTTAAACATAAAACCACTCAATAATGAAAGGGAAGAAATGACTATTGTAAGGTTGTACAACTCTTACTAAAATATACAAAATGTTAATATGTAGCATATGTAATACATCTTAAATAAGAATAAGGGTGTAAAAAGGGTTTTGATTGGAAAAATAAATGTTATTAATTTCAGGGTCTGAGCTATTGCAAAATGCTAAGTTGCTATAAGAACTGATATAGTCATTTACATTTGTAGGCATAATAAAATATTAATGATATAGAATGAAATAGTAATAACAAAAGTAAATGTTGCTAATATTTATTTAAAGATTTCCATAGAAAAGAATCCTTTCAATTCTAAAGGAAGAAAGAGAAAACATGAAAATCTAAAACAAGAGAACAACATGGCCTAACATCCAGTATCCCAACTACAAAGCACACTGAATCAAGAAACAACAAATGGGAATAAGAATAAGACAATTGTAAACACACCAGGATTTCAAGAGTTTGCAATTAAGAGCTTTAATTTTCAGAAATCTTCTTGTTTGGGAAGAAAAGATTCAACACTCGGTCACGAATCTGCTTTGTCTTGACGCCATACACGAGAGGATTCACTGTGGGGGGTACTAGAAGGTACACACTTGCAAAAATTATGTGGACACTCGGAGGTACCTTCTTACCAATGCGATGAGTTAGGAAGCTAAAGAGCGCTGGTGTATATAACACAAGAATAGTGCAGATGTGAGCAGCACAGGTGCCCAATGCTTTAGAGCGAGCATTCTGGGAAGAGAGCCGACAGACTGCCTGCAGGATTTTGATGTAGGATGCTGCTATGAGACCTAAGTCCAATACTATCACTGAAAGAGCCACAGAAATTCCATATGCTCGGTTAACAAACGTGTTGGCACTGGCCAACTTCACCACAGCCATGTGCTCACAATAGGCATGATTAATGACATATTTAGTGTAATATGGAAGTCTGTTAATAAGGACAGGACAGGGCAAAACCAGAAGTGAAGCTCGAATCACACCAACTAGACCCATTTTAATGACCAGTGATGTTGTCAGAATGGTTGTATACCGCAGTGGTATGCAAATAGCTATGAAGCGATCGAAGGCCATGGAGACAAGCAGAGATGATTCTATAACGCAAAATGTGTGGATAAAATACAGTTGTGCAAGGCAGACATTAAAGTCAATCCGATGATCATCAAACCAAAAGATGCCAAGCATCTTGGGGGCTGTGGAATAGGCAAGAGCCACATCATTCATTGCCAACATGCAAAGGAAGAAATACATAGGTTGGTGGAGGCTTGGCTCTAGCTTAACGGTAACAATGATTACGCTGTTTCCCAGTAGGCTCAAGAGAAACAGAAGGCAAACAGCAATTCCAATCCAGCAGTGAAAATCTTGCAAACCAGGAATACCAACCAGGAAGAAAGATGAGATATGGTAATGTGTAGTATTGGCTGCCATGTTAAAATTGGAGAAACTGCAAGTTTCGTGCGAAGTGCCCAAGTAAATGCCCTATGAGCAGATGGAGAACTGTGAAGTGATTCCTTGCTGATCCTGCCTCGGAATAATCCAGACTTGAATAATAACCTAACTGAAGGGCTGACTCTTGTCCTAAACCTCTGTAAACCCTCAGCTAATTCATTTTGCCATCTGAAGCACCAGTATCTTCCACCTGTTAAGATTAAGCTTCTTCCTTCTTGACTTTTTCTGGAGTTTTGATATTTGATTCAGTTCTATTCCTATCAGAGGAGCAATAAATAATAAAATAATTTTATCTATTTATTAAGTCCAGGAATATTTCTGGAAATGGAGATAAAATATGAAGAAAAATATAAACACACACAATTATTAACAGATGTTCCAACTTGCAATGATTTATAATTACGTTGTCATCCTTAGACATCTTAATTAAATTCCAGAATTCAGAATAAAATTTCCTAACCCTAAAACCTTAAACAAACCTTATAAAACAAATCCAATAAATGCTTAATCATCAATCAAATCTAAACTTATTCTAGAATGTCAAAGGAGAAAATTATAACATATAAAGTTCTCAAAGAACTTTTTCAAAAAAATTCTAGAAATAGATAATAATAATCTATTCCACAAAGCACAGTAGAAAATGTTCCAGAGAGTTTAGTTTAGGACATCATTTTTATTGAACAGAAAGTCTGAAGAAAGCAGAATATTGGTGAATGCAATCTGACTGTTGATCTGATTTGATGGGAGCTGGTGCAAGAGCCTGGTCCAAAACAATGGCTTACTACAACTTTCTATTTAATAAATGTACAGGATAATGAATTATACACAAAAATAAACAATGGAAAATTATTTCTGGTGTCAAGTTATTTTAAATTGTTGCAATTAAACTTATTCCTTGGTAGTAATCCCAGTCCATTTTTGAAAAGCTATGATTCTATCTATAGAGACAAACTTTCCTACAGCTGTCACAGCAAGCCTACTCAAGTAACAGGAAATAACATAGAAACTACAATTCACCTTTTTGATTTCAGCAGCAAAAATAGCTTCTTTTATATGTAACATTTTAATTTACATAAAAAGAGCAGATTTCATTTATACAGATTAAGAGCAGAAGGATACTCCCACACTATAATCTTGATGGAATTAACAACATATTTCATATTAATATATTATAAGAGACTGCAAAAACATACCCTGAACTAAGTTCATCAAGCTCTTCCATTCTCTCATCTCTTTGTATTTAATTTGATAACAACATCGACACAGCAAAAATGTAGGAAATCTCAGAATAATCCTCACATACTTTATCTATTCTACTACTTTTTTTTACTACTACTTTGGTCAATCAATTATTGATTTGTCAGTTCTGTTAAAATCCTTACCTTAGTCTTTGTTTCTACTTTGTTAGAGTCCATTCGATTGTTAGCACCAAAAGGAAGATACCGAATCTCCCAAAGAATTCTTATAGAAGATCAGATATATCTGTGCGTCTTCCACAGTCTCTTGAGTTTGTCACAAATGTTTGATCTGTTACCAAAGGCTCTGATCCTCCTGCGATTGTCAATCAATTTACAGTGATTGTGTACCCTTCATTCACTTCAAGGTCCTACTCGGAATACATTGTGTTTCCAGTGTGTGTAACTTAGCTGGAAACCAGTCTGCAGCTGAAACTAACAGGGTTAGTCCATGAAGTGTAAGAAACTAAATAAATGTGTGTGTGTGTGTGTGTATCTGTATCTTCTTGGATAAACAGGATCCTCTTCTTTACCAAGTCACATTATTCAAATCCTTACTAATGTCTCTTAGAAGTGTGTAATATCATTTATATGTCTACAAATCTTCCTTTACAATTGACTTCCACCTACTTTTTCTTAAATATTAAAATCATGATATGCTTAAATGACAAGTTTTTTAAAGGTTGTCCTCCATAAATCCTCAAACATTCATTATTCACTGTATCATCTAGGTAAATATGTGTTGTAGAAATAACTTATTTATATGAGAGTGTTTTCCTTGCAGTAGTGGGTCTCTGTGTCAAGCTGGCCATTGTGGTTGCTGTGTAATGGGTGCTTCTGATGCTAGCAGTTCCCTTAGGCTTGAAAGGCAGATAGGTCCTTCGGGAGACACAGTCGAAGGCCAAAGACCACTGTGCCAGGACTAAATACACTGCAGTAATAATGTCCTCCTGGAACAGACACACTAACATTGTAAACTCCCAAGAACTGCAGGTAGTTCTCTTGTGTTTTTACTTTGGAGAGCATAGTCTTGAGAGACTGTCCCAATTCCAACCAAATGAGATGACTGGGATGCCCTACAGTTCTTTGGGAAATCTGTAAGAACAGCAAGTATATTTAGTGCTGTCAGACTGTCTGAAACGTAAGGGGAGGACACTGCAAACTTTAATTGTACAATGACTATATTTGAATTCTTTCTTATTGCCAGAAATAAGTCATTTGAAAAAAATATAATATTCAGGATATTGCATGATCTGGATTCCATTATCCTTGTTCTCTTGTACAATGTTATTGATACACAATTTCCGTGATGTTAAACATATTTTCATGTCCATGTTACACATGTAAATTTCTTATTTTGAGATCACCTCCCAATTTAAAATTCGTTTTATGTATTGTTATTATTATTATAAATATTACTTATTTGTGAAAGGGAGAGAATGAACTCCCAAACACTGGTCCACTCTTCGGATGCCACAATTACCCAGCTCTGTGTCATAGTAGGCTGAGCCTCTGACTGCAGCGCCAGCATCCCATATGGGTGCTGGTTCGTGTCCCTGATGCAACTCTTCCAATCCAGCTCTTTACTATGGCTTGGGAAAGCAGTAGCAGATGGCCCAAGTCCTTGGGCCCCTGCAACAGCATGAGAGACCGGGGTGAAGCTCCTGACTCCTGGCTTCTGATCAGCTGAGCTCCGGCCATTGTGGCCATTTGGGGAGCGAGCCAGCGGATGGAAGACCACTCTCTCTGTCTCCCTTTCTGTCTATGACTCTACTTCTCAAATAAATCAATAAAATCTTTTTTAAAATATCTACTAATTTTAGTAGATACTAATGTTAAAATGTAGTGGCAATTTGAATATTAGATGCAGAAATCCACATTGTAAGTATATGAATTTAAATATATGTTAGAAGTATAATGGATATATTACTCATAGTTGACATTTCTGAATCCACATCAACCCTGGATATTAAAATAAATTGTAGTGTATTTAAACCATGGTACATTATTCTGGAAGAAAAACAAGCATAATATTTTTGTAGAGGCACACATATCATTATTATTTATAGCATTGGCTTTACAGAACCATGGTAAATTTTATATTAATCACCTCCATCTGGATAATTATTGATCACAACAATTTCTTAAGGCAATAACTTTATTTACACTGCCAAGATTTCATGCAACCTGATAAAATAATCCAGGGTGTTCATTGCTTCCCTTTTTCCATTCCAGTATCAGGGGTCATAATAAAAGCTGACAACCTCCTCAAACCACAATACCTTAGAGACATCTGCTACACCATGATAAGGATCCCAGGGCTGGAAGACACATACACATGAATCTCCATCCCTATTTGTTCCGTGTATATAGTTGCTGTTGTAGGCAGCACCCTGTTGTCCCTGGTCATCTCTGAGTCAGTCCTCATAAACCCATGTACATTGGCACAGTGTATATCTTTCTCTCAACAATCACTATACCAAAGATGCTAGCAATCTTCTGGAGAGATTTTCTTTTGGAAACTGTGCATCTCGGATGATTTTCCTCCACTTCATCTTTGTTGCAGAGGTTGCCACATTGCTGGCCATTGCTTTGCTCCCTGATTTTGGGCCACAACTTACAACTCCATTACATACCCTCCTTGCTAAGCTGTATGTGGTGGTTCTACCTACTCTAAACCCCTGAGTTTTTGGAGTTAAGATCAAGCAAATCCAGGAGAAAGTTATCCAAGTGTTTTCGTTGAGCAAGACATGTTGTTGGTTTAGAATAAGAGGCTTCATTCTTCATTTGCCCAAATATATAAAACATTAAGAGTACCTAACTTTATAGTGTATGTCTTGTATCATGTCAGCCCAAGAATGGACAATAACAACAGATTCATGGGTAAATGAGACATGAATGGCAGGCATCTTAAATTGAGAAATGCTAAACAAATGTCTGATATATATTTTATCTATGAGAGTGTTAGCTATTCATAGGGTTAATAAATTCATTTTTTAAACACAGTGATTTTTTTAACAAGTAGTCATGAGAGAAATATCTAGGCCTAGCCATCTATAGATCTATACTCCATACTCAATATGCTCAGTACCTCTCCCACTCTAATTCCTTAGCGAAACATGTTGTGTGTGTCTTTGGTTAAGAGAAACTAGAATTAACAGAGTTTGCAAGAATAATTCTAAAATTTCAAAATATTAATAGAACTCCATAGAAGGCTATGAAAATGATTTATATAGATAAATAATTACAAACTGTTTCTCACTCTTGTTCTCAATGGCATATATGTGTGTATATATATATATATACACACACACACGCACACAAATTTAGAAAACTATTTCTAAACGGCAGTGATTTCATATTTTATATCTAAAATAATATTTACAAATATAAAGAAAGTATTTGATATACCTGGGCACCTAGTCACTATTACTAGAATACAAATGAGTACCTGAAATAGTAGTGTTGTTAATAAGCCATTAATAACTCTAATAAAGAAGAAACAAATTTTTGAAACAAATATTATTCAAGATGTACTTTTCTTTAAACAAGAAATGACTATTGTAAGGTTGTACAACTATTTACTAAAATATACAAAATGTTAATATGTAGCATACGTAATACATCTTAAATAAGAATAAGGGTGTAAAAAGGGTTTGGATTGGAAAAAAATGTTATTCAGCATGGTGCCAGTACAGAAACAGATGGATAGACCAATGGAAGAGAATTGAAACACCAGAAATC